CAATATAGTTTTCAGTAGATTTGTGTGACAATTTGTGTTTAGAATCTCTATGGCAGTGCCGAATGCTAAGAAAACCTAAACTATCTTGAAGCAGGACAAAGTCAGAGAATGTACGCCACCAGATAATAGGTCTTATGAAACAGTGTGCTGTTGGAATAGGGTGCATAAATGGATTCATAGACCTGAATGGGTGGAGAGCCCCAAATACATCCATGCCTGAGTTTCAACCAAAGTACCAGTGCAATACTGGCACAGGGGTGGGGAGGGTGTTTAAAATTGACCCACAAATCCCTAACTCATTCCATAAGTCAACTCCAATAGTTTGAGAACTGAACTAAGAAAAATGCAACCATCAAGTTTCTAAAAGAAAACATAGGGTAATATCTTCTGAACATGGAAGTAGACAAAGATTTCTTAAGACACAAGCACTAATGTAGACAATTCATAAACGAGTCTCCATTAGATTGAATTCTGATTGTCAAAAGGAATTGTTAGAGGGTTTTGAAAAACAGCACAAGATATTTATAATACATTTATCTGACTGACTCTGTCCAGAACACAAAGATGAAAGATAATGCACAAATCAGTAAGACCCACAACCGTATTTGATAATGGCTCCAGGTTCATAAACAACACTTGGCAGAAGAAGAACTCGAGTCAGAAGACCTGGAGGGAGGGCTGGCTGGCATTCTTAGTTTTAGTCTGGGAAACGCCCTTTCAAGCCACAGTGAGACCCAGGCATCCTGCCTGGCACCTGAGGACTGACACTACTACCACCTGTTGGTGAGGACGGAGAGCAACCGGAATGCTCCTCCCAGCTAAACGCGCAGTTAGCCCAGGACCCAGGTATTTATTTACCAACACACGTGGTAGTCACAAGGCAAAGAAGCGGCCACCAAAAAAAATACATAAATAATTTTTTTTTAAAAAGAAGTGACCACAAGAATGTTCCTAAAATAAAGGGGAAGGGGTGGGTGCTCGACCTACTTCCAGCAGAGCACTTTCACGCAAACCCCTCTAAACTCCCACCAAGTGCTCCCTTGAAGGAGCCCGGGTTAGAGGAACGAGGAACGGGCAGGTCACCCCTCCCCACAGCTGGGCCCCGCGAGGTTTTTCCCTGTCCCCACAGAACGTGGACGCCCTGCGAACTTTCAAAGATGCTGTCCGTCCCCCATTCTCATTTGTCACTGAGACTGTGTCCCCTAGGAACCGACACCCTTGGTCCAGGCGAGTGGACGGCGCGCGCGCAGGGGAATACAGACTGTGTCCTTCCGTCCTGTCTTCGTGGGACCAGGCCGAGGAGACCCGCTTCCTGTCCCACGGCTCCATCTCCGAGGCCTCCCGGGCCACTGGCCCCTCGCCCCGCCGCCCTCCCAGGGCTCTGGTCCCTGCGGAAGAGGGTGTGCGGTGGTTAGCGACTGGCCACAGCGGGCAGCTCCCCTGGGCGCGGGCGGGGAGGGCAGGAGCTGCCGGAGCTAAGGGGAGGGGACGGGCCAGGGCCCGTGGGAGCTGGGGTGGGGGCCAGCCAGTCTGAGGACCCCGGGGAGGAAGGCAGGGAGGGTGCAGTCCCTGGTGCCCACGGCAAGGAAGGGGGAGGTCTGGGGTCCTGAAAACG